AATAAATCCACTTGCATTAAGTAAAAGGGCTCCAAACAACAAGTAAATCATGTTCCATTCCTAGACACATGTTTACTAGGTACCACATTCTCAAACAAGATTACCAATGATATTCCCACACCAAAAGTAATCACAAATCATGTAATAGTTGATCATTCCATACAAGCATTAAGCACAAGAACATGATACTAACATTTGAACGAAGAAGATATATATATATATATATTCAAACAAGTTACATGAGAGTCAAGTTGGATACATCTAACCCCAACAAAGGGGTTTTAGCAATCCATGTCCATGAGATTAGCAAGATACATCAAAAGAGGAAGAATGGAAGAAACCCAATGAGAAACAATGGTGAAGAGGTGAGCCCTAGCTTCTCCCTTTGACCTGTACTTCGCTCCTCCTTTGGTCCCTCCTTCCAAATTATCCCCTTTCGCGCTCAGCCAGAAATTATATCAAGCCACGCAACTCTTTAAGTGACGCGCTCAGCGCGCTACGATACGCGCTTGGCGCATGACGGGAGGCGCGCCGGGCGCGTGATTGAACACGCCCAGCGCGATGCCAAATCTCCATCAACTCAGCCTGATCTATTGCGCTGAGCGAGCTGAGATATGGGCTCAGCGCGAGTCTACTGAAAATGTCAGCTAGCATCACTGGAGTTCAATCGAGCTTCTTCTATTTGACATGACTTCTTCCCACATGATTACCTATCCAAAAAATCACAAAAAATGAGGATTAAATATGTATAACCCTGTATGTGTAACCAAAGTGTCTTTACTTACAAAAGAGAAGTTAAATTGAGGATTACATAAGTCAAAAGTTAGAAAAGAGTTGAATGTGTTAACAAATTTGGTACTAGAATGTAAGTAAAAATTAACATTATCAATCTTCACCATCATTATTATTAACATCATAGTCACCACAACTAATAGTACCATTATCATCATTATTATCCGGTCAACATCAACATCATTACTAATTTACTATCATCAACACCAATATTATTACGGTTGTTATCACTATTATTATTATTAATATCGTTACCTCTAATATTATTGTGACCAAGCAAATACACACTTAAGTTAATTTTTATAGAATAAAAAAAGTTCAAAGTGAGTTTATTTTAAAATAAAAAACTGGTCATAATTTTTTAAGTTTTTCAAAATTCAACCCAAACAAACCTTTAGTTATTTACTCCGTAAAGCAGTCAAAACAATCATCTGGTTTGACTTGTTATATTAGTGCCAAACAAGAAAGTAAAATTAGATGTATATTCAAAAAATAATTGCATGTGTAAAAGATGGGCCATGTGATGAGTCATAAATTTAACAATGTCACATTTCTAAACAACTTTTCACTCCTGAGCACAAGTGAAAGCTTAAAATTAAATGATGTCTAACTTGAGTAAAATATGGAGAGGTTAATTTTAGATGTTAAATAAAATATTGTTATTTTTTTAAAATGTTTATAGACATGGTCTAATTTAATAACTAATCTATGTTTTCAGAGTTTAATTTTTTTTAACCAAATATTATTTTAATACATATAAGAATTGAACTTTGAGAGCATCAAAATAAAATATTACTCTTATTTTGTATTAACAATAATGCATTTTAAAAATTAAAAACATAATCATAATAATAGACTTAAAGTGATAATAATTTATATAAAGGTTAAATTCAAAAATAAGATTGAAATTAAACATTTTAGCATAATAATTTGATGCAAAGGAGAAATCTCTTATAAATTTCATTTACTTTTTATTTGTGAAACCGATGTGAAAATTCATACAGCCATGAAAAATATTTTAAAAAAATATGAAATAATGTATCATACAATTCCCTTTAAGGAAATATATAAAGACGAATAACAAAATTGTTTGGTCTCAAAAGTTTAAAACTATCGGCCAAAATGGTTCATGTTCAATACTTCAATCAATCTGATTTTAAAGTGGACCAAATGCTGTGTTGTTTGGCAGATATATCACTGACTCATTCACCAAACTTTAGCACAACCTTTGCAAACTAATTACATTTCGCATATGTTCCTACCCAAGTCACCATCAGTACCTCTCAATTAGGGACTAAAATGAACAGAAAATCCAAGACAAAAAGATAAATATTAAAGTTATAGAAATGTTGGTGTATGCAACAATATTTCTTATGAAAAGTCTAGATAGAGTGACAAATAAAATAAATTAAAATAAAATAAAAAGTCTAGACAGAATGAATGGTTGCCTTTCGAAGAAATAATTCCTCTTAAATCACTTTTCGAAAGAATTTAAAGAAAAAAAAATGAAAGTTACAATTTTTTTAATGCAAGGGTGGCCAGAAACTTTTCTATTAAACTTTGTGATATATATTCATGCTTTTCATTCTTTTTTTAAAAAATTGAAACATAATGTGAGAAGAGTAATGGATCCGTTTATTTAAACTTAAAAAGAAGTGTTTCTAAATAAATGCTTTTAAAAAAAGTAATGGTTTAAGAAACAAATAAGAGTTGTTTCTTAAAAACGCAAAAAAAATGCTTATTTTAAAAATAAAAGTTTAGACAAATACATCAAAATGTAAAACGATATTTATTTTATTTAAAAAAAAAACACTTTTATAAGAAAAAAAGTTTAAACAAGTAGACTTAATATAGTAAACAGTATTAAAAAAAATAATAATCTAATTTAATAGTTAAAATTGTAGTAATTTTTTTTAACTTTTATTTTTGTAAACCTTGTCTTTAATTTCTAATTTTATGAAATGCTTTTCAGTTTAATTTTTTTTTAACAAAACAACATTTACTTTAGTTTTTAATATTAGTAAATATATATATATATAGTAATAATAGGTAAAATAAATGAAAATTTATAAAAGTTGGAAATTAAAATAACTTTTAATAAAGTTGAAAATTAAAAGGATAATTCAAAAGAAAAAAGAGGCTAAATAAACCTAATATCTTTTAAACCTAAAATTCATGAATTCGACATGGCATTCTAACCCGTTTGATCCATTAAGCCGAGTCAAATTAGTCTGATTCTAATTGAGCCTTTCATTTTAAGATTCAATCAATCCGATCTAACCGGTAATCAAATAATTTTTCCAAAAACTCATGTTATGATAGTCAACGATTATCTTTTCAGCTATGCTTTGAAAGAATGCATTGGATCGGTATTTGGTCTGGTCATGAATATAAATATCATTATCTTTTTAATAATATCTTCGTTTAGTCATTCTTTAGTCAAATATTCATGCCATTAAATCAACAACCATGTTATTATGTAATGTAATTGCAAAACTGCCAAAAGCCCGGTATTGCTGACATATAGATGGAAGCTTTAAGCTTGAATTTCACATTTCAGCTGATTGCAAGTTAACAGTCTCACCAAACAACTACAAGTTTCAAGCCATGATATAACTAGCAATCATGGGCTTTTGTTGACAATAACCTAAGATGTTGACACATTTCAGCAATACTGTCAAAACCATCATTCCGCATAAGCATTACAAGGTCTTGGTATATTAATATCAAATGCTACTCAATTTCAAGAAGAAATACAGAGAAAGTTAAGAATGCATAATTCATCGGGAATGTGGTCTAGTTTGGGTTAACTTTTAGCTTATGAGTGCTTTTCAATTGAGATGAGTAATTGATTCTTAACTTGCAGAAAACCCTTATAAGTTTGCAGGTGATCATGGAGTAGTTAGACAGAAAAACTGTGCATATGTTTAATTTTAACTTATACAAGAAGTTTGATTTATTTTACCTTCTTGATTCATTTCTTTTTACCTCTGTGATTCATCTTTTCTTATAATTATTTGTTGAAATTTTATTCAAGTTGACTCCATATTTTACATTGATAAAGGCAAAGGCGTTATTTAAGATTGATCATCTAGTCATGTTGTTTAATGAATTTTCAGGTCATGGTGGAGGGGTGAGTTCTGCACCTTTAAGGCGAGCTTGAAAGAGGGTTACGGCATCAAAATTGACAAATAAAAATAAGATGTCAAGGGTAATCTAGCAAATTTCAAACAATTATAACACATATTTTAATTAAAAGTATGTTTATAATAACTGTATGAAGTTAAATGAATTATAGTATATATTTAAGAATAAATGGAGAGTGTAATACTAGCGTATGCCAAAGAGAAAAATGTACACTTTACTAGTAATTTTCTAAAATATAAATTATTAAAAGATAATTATAATTGAATGACATATGAAGAGAAAATGTATTATTCTATTCGTTTTCTAAATACTCAATCAAACATTAAGTAGAATAAGAATATTTTCGTAATTGAAAATGGTGTCATGTTCTTTTTGATAAGTGCCAATTGCCAGACAAAACATGGGTAGTGCTTAATTTACCATTCAGTGATATTTTATTCCAGTTTGTTATGTTTTGATGGCAAAAGCTACCTTAACAACAACAGATGGAAGAACCGGTAGAATTTACCATAAATCAACCGTCCATAGAAAATGTCTAACACGAATATTTGTTTCCAAGAAGTTACAATAAGGAATACTTTAGAGAGAGAAAGAAGGTTACCTTCAAGAGAGAGAGAAAGAAGGTTACCTTCAAGAGAGAGAGAAAGAAGGAAGATGAGTGTCCCACCCTCTTGAGTATAAATTCTTCAATTCCTTTGGACCTCAAAAATAAAGGCATTCTGATTTGTTGTGTGGTCAGGATTCAAGCCCCTTCATGGAGGGATGCCTTTGGGGATATTGTCTTTCATTTAAAGTAGGTTGGACCCATAAAACTTAAGTCAGTAATTTTTCAAAGGGACTTTTTCTCTAACGACGAGATGAAGACCAATTGCCATGCAAACATTCCCTTTTTCCATTTTGAGTTGGTAACATTTTACTACATGAAGTGAATTTCTATATATAATGCTTATTCTCTATTAATACAAATAAATCTCTCATTTAATGATAGTAATATGTAGACTATAAACCAAGGCAGATTGGCTAGTTAATGAAAAGCATTAAGATTACATTCTGAAAGAAAGAAACCAGAAGAAGAAGTTCAATTTGAATTCTCATTCTCATTCTTATTTATATACATATTATGTCTAGGAAAACAAACTCACTATATCTCACTATGAACTTATATATATATATGTATATGTACATGAACTAAGAAAACCATCTGAATGAAAGGGAAGAGGGTAAAACTGCCTAGATGTCACCTATGATAGGAGAGATACTCTGCAAACACAAGAATACTCCTTCACCTTGGAAGGAAATGCATGAAGAACCATCCACTGCTCTTTCTTCAGTTGGCGGACAACAGAACTAACTCTTCTTACAAACAAGGCTGGTGAACCAATGTGGCTTTAGTGCTTTACAATTTGTGTTTCCCTCGGGACCGGTTGAACACTGCCAAATCAGTTTGCTGCACCTAAAACACAAGTCAATTACAAATTTATAAGCTACACATTTATGAGGTCTCATGAAAGTTAAGGGACCTAGACAACGCCGCTGGATTGGCCTGCAACACCGGTGAGGCCTGCACTGAATGATTTTTCTCATCATTCTTTGAAGGGAAGGCTTTGAAGAGTCCTCCCCCAGGAATTGAGTCAGCCTTATCATTTTTAATCCCAAGTGTTGTCCATAAAGAGCTTTTTGCTGCTTCTCCCGAGTCATCAATCCTCAAAGTTTTTGGAACCCACAAGGACTTTTCTTTGTTGTTTTCTTTGCTGTGCTCATCCTCGCCACCTGACTCATTTGGTTTGAGAATGTTGTCTTCCCTTGAATGTTTACCCAAGGTTGGGGAGTTAGGGCCAGAGTTTGGGTTTGCAACTTTTGGTGATGACGGTTGCGCTAGCCATGGGATGTTCCACGCGCCTGGCACAGCACAGCCCCAATAAGCTGCTGCAGGATAGAATGGCACAGTAAATCCTGGGGGACAAAAAGCAGGTGGTGGTACTGGTGAGCTCCACTGCACTGGATTCCATGGGATAGGCCAAGGGGTTCCAGAAAAGAAGGGAACTTGGGGGAAGTTTTGAATATTCTGCATAGCTTGTTCTTGGGGTCCATTGGTGCTTGTTCCTTCCATTGACTTTGTGGAGGTGATCGAGGATTTATTGGATTGATCATCCCCTTTTTCTCCACTGGCAAGGGGAACAGAAATTCTTAGTTCTTCAGGTTTATGAAATCCATTTCTTGTGTAATTGTGCACGGTTTTATCAGCAAGGTTCAAAACAGATGCCATTGATTCACACAAGGGTGTATCAGTTCCAAATGTAAGGACTGTACCATTGCATTTCAAGGAAGGATGGTATGCCCCATTTGGCAAGTCGGTTCGAGGATTCTGGATTGCAGCTTCAGAAACAGTTATCTGGCGATAGTGAGAAGCAGAATTCTTGTTCTTTCTGCGACCAGCTCCTACAGGAACGTTCCTCATGGTCCCCCCAGCAGTCCAGTATCTCTGGCAGTTCTTGCAGAAATGGCGGGGTTGGTTGACGTTGTAGTTATTGTAGTAGCAGAACTTAGTGTCCATGCTATTACAGCGAGGACATGGTAGTATTTTGTCTGGTTTTTTGAGGTTCTTATCCTGTGAATTACTTGTCTCACCCTGCTCCTCTTCAGTCTTTGAAGTTTTCAATGGAGTAGCCTCCCTCTCGGTCGACAGGGTAATGGATTCCTCACAGGTTCCAGAGGCAGCATCTGGATTAGTGACCTCTTCTGATGATTGGGTGGGGGCTCCATCTTCCTTCTTATTATCAGTTGGTTTTTCTCCCAATGTGTCCTGGATTCGTGAAAAAAACCTGCTTAGTATGTTGCTATACACTACAAGCACTATATTTATATTATGAAAAGAACATTTCAAATATGAATTGACTGTTTCACATTCGTGCCATTTGCAAGCAAATAAGATTCAACCGATTTTTTTTTTATTGAAAAAATAAAAACTTAGAAAACATAGATATAAAAGAAAAAAGTGATTACACCTCAGGAGAGCTACTTCATTAGAAGAAAACAAATTAGAGCAGCACTACACAAAGAACACACCAGGGAAATTACTAGAGAGTCATAGCACTGTCAATAAATTCTATATCTAATTGAAGCCTCATTTTTTCATCGGTTGTATAAAATCCACAAGGAAACATCAATTGTCAAAATCTCTTTTCGAAATGCTTTTTATCCGCAAAGCAAACATGTTGATTCATTTTCCTAAAAGGGTTGATGCTGGAGATATTATCATCTTGCAGGCTCAAACCAAGAGAAAGCTGTATGATTGACATGCTCAAAGTGGAAACTTGCGCCAAAAAAAGTAAATGGTGTCGAAACCACGAGGAGACAACTAGTTCTCCTTTTACAAGACAGAACAGAAAATCAAAATCAATTGAAAATAAGGCAAAGCAAGATGTTGTATTAACAAAAGTGCAACAAACAAGGAAATCAAAGGAAAAAATTTAGGAAATTTACTCATGATGGTACTATGGCAGTTTTTATTTCTTCTCCTGGATTTGGCAAATACCATACAAAACTCAAAAGTCAAATAGACAAAACATTGTTTTTCACAAACATACTGACATAGCCAAGGAAAATTAACCATAAGAATCCTGTAAAAATGAATGATTTAACGTCACAAAGATATCTAAAGAAAGAAAGATAGATTAACTCCTCTACTGAAAAGCACGAAGTTAACAAGGTTTTGAAATATGGAAAGCTGGAAACTGAAAGTAGACAAGAGAGTAATTTCTCAAAAAATGCCAAATCCATGTAGCAATCTCAGAACCTGGTAGCGGCAGACTAACCAAACAACTGAAGAACAAATCCAAATGCCTATCTCACACAAGATCAAATAATTGCTTCCTCTTTTATTCAAAACTTCTCTCACTTTTTCCTTTCATTAACAAAATAAATCAATCCAAACATACACTAAAATTCTCTTGAACCACCAAAAAATCAAGCTTCAGCAAGTCCAAAATGACACTTGAACCACTTAACGGGGATTGAAAATTTGAAACCAACCATCCACTAACTCCCCAGATTGAAACCAACCCCAAACAGACACTCAATTAAAAACTGAACTCCGTGAAAGAAGAAAAAAAAAAAAAACTTTACAAAACACAACACAAGCCGAAAAACCAAGTCAACGGAATCTTCAATGCCCGAACCAAACCAAAACCAACCCATTAAATCTTTTCACATTTGAAACAAAGAGTCACGCTCAAAATAAAAAATTTCGAAACCCCAAAAATCCACACACCTTATCCAAATCTACCTCTGGTGCATCTCTGTTGGTACGAGACTCCCTGGAAGAGTTGGTGGAAGAAGCGTGACTCTGTTCAGCACTGTCATCGACAACATCGCCGGAAGACAGGGCCGGAGCTTCGGCGGGAATCTCCGGCACCGGGATCGTCTTCCCGAAGAGCTTGATCGCCGGGTCTTTAGCCTCCGACATTTCCGTTACCTTTTTTCCCTATTTCGTTAATAAAAAAAGCTCCTTTTTTTGTTTTTGTCTGAAAGGGGAAAAAAAATGAAAACTGTAAAAGTGGTTGGAGAGAGAAAGAGAAAAAGCGTAGAGAGAGAGAGAAGGGGTGTGACAACTGACACGTTGTGTGAGAGTGTGCGTTTTGTTGTTGATCCGGCGAAGCAGGTAGAGGTGCCACATCAGAAGCAACCTACAATTTCAGCCACAAACTCTTTGTGGCCTGAAAAAGATCTTTCTCTTTCTTCCTTTTTCATTCTCTTTTTTTCTTTTTTCTTTTTCTGTCAGCTTTGCTTTGTTTGGCTAACCAAAATGGACACACGTTTGGGGGTATCTATGTGCGTCCCCAATGGTAATTTCCACAAGCACGTTGGATCGTAATAGTCGTTGCTTTTCAGCTTTTCAGCTTTTCAGCCTCTCCCAATCGATAACTCCTTTTTCATGTATGCACCGCGTCAAACTTGTCCAGAGCTTGCACTTATCTTCCAACATACCTAACACTTGTTTTTGCATGGATATCGTTTCACTTCGCACAATTTTCTCAACATATAAACTAATATGAAAATGTTTTAAATTATGAGGTGAATATAAATAGTTAATTTGGATTAATAAATAAAAGTATATGTAGTTTAAGTTTGTAAAATGCTTCTTTTAAAAAAAATCAAAAATTAATTAATTATATAACTTCTTATATCATAAATTAAAAGAGATAATAAGGATAAATTTATAAGTAATATTAGTTTTGACTCTTAAAAATTTGGTAGATTTTTGTTATTCGCTTTGATATTTGTTAGATTGTCACAGTATTATTTAAAAAAAATGTCATGATTTAAGTAAAATGACATTTATAAATGATATTTTATATCGATTCTTAAATAATGTAAGACTTTTTAATATACCAAAAGTTTATAAGTTAAGATTAAGAAACAAAGTGGATTAGACCATTTTCTAGTGTGCCAAGAGTAACATCATTCGAGTCATAATATCTGAAGTATTATTGATTTTGATACTCATTAGATCGTCATAATTATGTCTTTAAAAAGATGCGTCGATTTAGTGGATTAAGAGAGTAAGGTATTTATAAACAACCACTCTTCAATGACATGAAAATTTTTAACATTATGGAATAGAGAGCAATCGAAATAAGTTCTCTTTGGTGACATTTTCACTCGATGAGATTTTAATCAATCAAAAAGTATTGCGTATAATTTATTTTTATTATAAAGTAGGGGTTTAAATAAATCAAAGATGAGATTTTGTCCCGTAAAAATTTCAAGTATTTCACTTAAGAGATTCTCTTCCAATATAATTGTCTCATTTCAAACTAGTCTCATTTTATCTTTACTTTAATTGTTACTCGTATATATGATTTATTAGATTTTTTTTATTTAGGCTACTATTAATTAGTGTAATTTTGTTTTATGAAAATGAATTGAATGTTATGTGACATATATTTCCTTGTAAGCCCGTTTTATCATGTGATCTATTTTGGAATTGAGAATTAATATGGAAGTATATCTAATTATCAGGTCAAGTCTAATAAACAATTTTGTGTTAAGTTTTTTATAAGGGTCTAATTGATTTAATTGATTTAATATCTATTGTGAATGGATAATAAGTAGCAATTTCATAGAGAAGTTCTAGTGGAAGGGTTTTTCTTTACACACAAGTGACTACGTGATCAACATTATGATAACAATTTCACTATAGAAATATCCACAATAGGTAAGTGTTTTATAGTAATTGATAAATAGTGATATGGTGTTTTAAATTCTAATACTGATTATGTTTTTTTATTCAAATAAAGCAATTTCTTTTGCTAGTAAGTCCTGAGATAAAAATTTAAATAAAAAAAAAGGTTATGTATATATTATTTATTTATATGTTTGGAAAGTTACAAGTTGAGTGAAATTATTTTTATTGGCAATTTGATTAAGTAAATGTATCTCACCACAATGGACAATTTGCAAAAATTGGTAGTTCTTGTTAAATTTTATATCATTAGGATATTGTGTCATTTAGATTACTTTTTCTTTGTTTTAACTCAGTCACAAGGTTAATTCATTAATAATTTGATATGACACGTTAATTTTAGGATGAATATGATAGTAAAATCTTTTTGTTCACAAGTGTTGGACTTTTGTAACAATTGATGTAGTGTATAATATATCATCCACGCACAAGGGAGTTTATATTATGTTTTGTGGTTACAATGGTTCAACCTAAAAGCCGTTTTCAAAATAATTAAAATCGAATTAATATTGTACAAGTGAAAGAATGTTAGAATTTTTTTTATTCATATTACTATTAATTGGTGTAATTTTTTTTTTTTTGAAAATGAGTTGAATATTACCTAACATATTTTTTTGTGTGTACCTATTTTATAATGTGATCTATTTTAGGTTTGGGAATCACAATAAAAGTATATCTAATTATTAGGTCAAGTTTAATAGGCAATTGTGTTATGTTTTTATGTGAGGTCTAATTAATTTAAGAGGAAAGGGATCCACTTATTTTAATAATAAGTTTACTTAGACTTTCTCTACTCAATAACTCGTGTTATGCATCAAATGTTAACGATCCAATCGTTAAATTAAAAGTTCTCAATGCATAAATCAATTATGCAAATTTGAAAAAAGTTTGAAAACTATTTTTGATACTCCATTTCATCAATTCAAATTGATAGATAATTATAAAAATATGTCATACGTTGATTTGAATTAATAAAATAAAGCATCAAATAATTTTTAAATTTTTTTAAAACTTTTAAACTTGACTTATGCATTAAGGACTTTTAATTTAATGGTTAAATCGTTAAAATTTGATGTAAAACGTGAGTTATGGAGTGAAATAAGTCTAGATATACTTACATTTTGAGTAAGTGGATCCCTTGTCTTGATTTAGTATTTGTGATTGATGAATATTAAGTTACGATTTCAAAAATTGAAAGAATAAGATCCCACTAGACTCTTATAAGTTTGGTAACTATCATTTTTGTTCCATCAAAGAGCCAATAGTGTCAAAAAAGAGTTATGATGAAATAGTTGTTTTTGTCATATACAAGTAAGTATATGACCAACATTGTGATAAGAGGTTCATTATAAAGATGCCTACAAAAGCTAAGTATTTTATAATAATTGATAAACATTGATATGATGTTCTAAATTCTAATATTGATCCAATATATCATTCTATCATGATTTTCTCAATTGTGTATCCCTTTAATTAATCTCTATATATTAAATACAAGTTGTTATCTTGCTCAAGAACACGAGTAGAGGGAGGGAGGACCTAGAGTGGCCATGGTCCCTCCCATTTAAAAAAAAATGTATCAAAAATTACTTTTAAAATGTGATATAACTTATCAATGGTTTTAAATGTGTGGCTTATATCTGGTCAACAATTTTGAAAATTTTGTTTCTTAATATTAATAGACAATAATTATATATGAAGACTTAAATGAAGGGTAAAAATAAATATTGATAATAGTATGTATTTTACCTTTTACTTTTTTTTTGTTTATAAAATGGTAAATAGGAGATGCTATTTTATGAATACGAATTAAGAAGTCAATGACATGTTAAAAATTTTCAGATTAAGTATCATTGTTTATTTAGTGGTTAGTTGAAACTCAACATTGTCCAGTTTGACCCATGATTTTCTTGCCAAATTGAGGGCTAATAATAGTCTGTCGAAAGAATTCTAGCTATAGCGTCAAGAGGTCTCCTTTAATAAGCATGTCTATCAAAGTAAAATTTTAATAGTTGCGCATATCATTCATTTTCATGGTGGCCTTGCATATTCTTATTTTTGTCATGTTTTATGCTTGGAAGTTTAACTGAAATAATATTTTTTATATATAAATTTTATACTATTTTATAAATTTAAAGGTGAGAATGTTTTTTTTAATGTTTGATTTTCTATTTAAAAAATAACAATCATGGAAAATATTTTTTTAGGAATGATATTTGCATGATTTTTTAAAAAATTATTCGTATGAGAGAGATAGAAAACTAACATTCATAAATTAAAAGAAAAATTTTATTAAAATAAAATATAATGTTATCTTAATTTACTTATTTAATAACATAAATACTTTTTATTCTCAGGTAACATTTATAAATATATATAATCAATTAAATAAAATTTTATTATTATTACAAAAATTTATGATTTTCAATAATCATAATTTCTAAATATGAAAAAATTTCTTATACCAAATATCTCTTTAAGTATTGACTAATAACTTGTCAAAGTTAATAAATAACATTTCAGTAACCTTTGTGTAAACGTTTACCTTACCCCACTCATAAATAAATTTATTGATGTTTTTATTTATTTATAAATGAGTCAATGAGTATCATAAATTCATTAATTTTTATTTTTAATAATAGAGTTAATGAGTATCAAACTTTGATAATCGTATCTCTCTCATCACTAATAGTTAGATGTTTTGCCTTTGGTGTTTGTATTCACGAGGATGGGTGTCATTATCTAGACTCATAAAACTTTATTTACTTTAATTAGGTGTGATTATTGCTTGAGGTCAATTAGACAAATAAGTTATCCAAATCCAATAATTAAATTAGTTCATTTTCTTTTAATTTGAATTGGATCCAAACTAAATTAATTAAAATTTGATATTAATTAATTTAAGTATTAGTTTCACAATTTTGAAATTCGAACCAAATCAACTATTTATATATATATATATATTATTTTTATTAGGTACATAACATTTATGTATCGTTTTAAAAAATGTCTTTGCATTTCAGTTTTAGATTCAAGATTTCGCAAATAAACTTTCACAATTCAAAATTTGAAATTCTCGTTCCTTGTTATTATAATTGGAGTAGTATAATTTAACCAATTATTTATGTGTTATTTTTTTATAATTTGTCATTTTTTAATGGAGAAATTGTACTCATATCTTTTAAAATAATTTCATTAGTTTAACTGAAAAAAATAAAAATTAATTTACAAATTGTCAATCATATACGTGTTTATTATTTATTTTTGAATTACATAAAACGTTATGATTTCTTTGTGAAAATTTTCATTGTTCTTCAATTTTAAAAATAATAATTTCTCAGTCCAATTTTTGAAGTTATTTCTTGAAGTTAATATATTTTTTAAAGAGCTAATCACTTATACACTGTCAGTGTAAATCTTTTTATACTCACAACCAATTATATATCTTAATTGTGCCATGTCACTGTAAACATATTTACTCTTAACAGTGACATGACACAATTAAGATATATAATTAGTTGTCAGTGTAAAAAAACTTTACACTGTTAGTGTATAGGTGATTAACTCTTTTTTAAATCACAATACTCGTGATATTTATGATATAATTTGAGAGTTAAAATTAAGAAAGAAATCAAGTCTCGTCCAATTGTTTATACTTGCATTAATAATTTGTCATCTCTTAATAATATATAAATAGTATTACTACTATTTTATACATGAAATTGTACGTGTTACTTAAATAAATAAATAAGAAAAATTAATGCTCACTTAAAAATTAAAGAGGAGTTATATGTCATTTAAAAAAGCCTTGAGGAAGGTCAATTCAATTTTCTTTTATTTAATTGGTATAAGTTAATTACAATCAAATACATAATTTATAATTTTTAATGATAATATTATCTATTAATTTTGAGACAAAACTATTAATATATTATTATAATTTTGAATGTTTGCAAATAATATATAATATCAAATAATAAAATTTAAATTATAAATAATAAAATATTTAAGTCATTATATATTGTTCAATGATATTAAATTATATGAAAAATATTTTAAAAAAAGTATTATACATATCAAAACACTCAGTAATATAATAAACACTTCATATAATTATATAAATATATATTATTTTATCTAAAAAAATTCTATTTAACAATCAAAAGAAGTGAAAAAAACAATTTTGTAAAGGGAAAAATAGTTAATGAGAGAACATGAATTTCGACGTAATAAAATAAAGAGAAAGAGTAACTCACAATAAAATAAAATAGAGAGCAAGAATAATTCATTATAAAATTAAATAAATGCATGCAAATAGAAATTAAAGCGGAATACTATAAAAAAAAGTCCACTTAAGCTCCTTGAATTAGTTTTTCTAGAAGTTTTTATTTTTTATTTCTTTACAAATTTTAAGGTGCTTATTTTTTTTTTTATACCAAATGTATTTAACTCAACTTTCACTTGTAAATAAAAATTAAGTTACAAAAAAATGGGTGAAACATACTTTTAATTCAATCAGAACTTAAACAAAATTATCTTAAAAAAGAGATACTTGTAGGAAAATAAATACTAAAAGGAAAATGTTATCTAGTTCATTTAGGATACTTTTCCCTCTCTTCTCAATCATAAGAAAAATATATATACATTTTTATTCTTAAATATAAGCAAATTTAACTTTTTATTTTATTTTATCATTTACTGATATTTTCTTTAAAATATTCCTCATTTAATATATGACTTTTTAGTTGTACTACTTCTCTTGACAATTATAATAAGGACAATTTAAGAAAAAATTTATAAAAATAACAAAATTTAATACAAATAACCAACTTTTTTAATATGTATAAAATTAATTATTTTATTTATAATAGAGAACAAAATGAGTAGTTAAGAAATTAAAAGTATAAATTTTTTATTGAAGAGTATATTTGCAAGTTGTTACATGTAGTTAGTTATATTTTAGTTTTCAAAAAAAACTTTCTATATATTAATATATAAATTCATTAATCGTTGTCCAAAGGGCACATATTAAAATTTCTACTCACGTAAAAATGATATATATATATATATATATATATA